GATCTAGGTGTCATACCTAGTGCATCGGGTCCAATGAAAATCTTTTGTGACAATACTGGTGCAATTGATTTGGCAAAGGAATCCAGATTTCACAAAAGGACCAAACACATCAAGAGACGCTTCAACTCCATCCGGGATTTAGTCCAGGTGGGAGACATAGAGATTTGCAAGATACATACGGATCTGAATGTTGCAGACCCGTTGACTAAGCCTCTTCCACGAGCAAAACATGATCAGCACCAAGGCTCCATGGGTGTTAGAATCATTACTGTGTAATCTAGATTATTGACTCTAGTGCAAGTGGGAGACTGAAGGAAATATGCCCTAGAGGCAATAATAAAGTTATTATTTATTTCCTTATATCATGATAAATGTTTATTATTCATGCTAGAATTGTATTAACCGGAAACATAATACATGTGTGAATACATAGACCAACAGAGTGTCACTAGTATGCCTCTACTTGACTAGCTCGTTAATCAAAGATGGTTATGTTTCCTAACCATGAACAAAGAGTTGTTATTTGATTAACGAGGTCACATCATTAGTAGAATGATCTGATTGACATGACCCATTCCATTAGCTTAGCACCCGATCGTTTAGTATGTTGCTATTGCTTTCTTCATGACTTATACATGTTCCTATAACTATGAGATTATGCAACTCCCGTTTACCGGAGGAACACTTTGGGTACTACCAAACGTCACAACGTAACTGGGTGATTATAAAGGAGTACTACAGGTGTCTCCAATGGTAGATGTTGGGTTGGCGTATTTTGAGATTAGGGTTTGTCACTCCGATTGTCGAAGAGGTATCTCTGGGCCCTCTCGGTAATGCACATCACATAAGCCTTGCAAGCACTGCAACTAATATGTTAGTTGTGAGATGATGTATTACGGAACGAGAAAAGAGACTTGCCGGTAACGAGATTGAACTAGGTATTGGATACCGACGATCGAATCTCGGGCAAGTAACATACCGATGACAAAGGGAACAACGTATGTTGTTATGCGGTCTGACCGATAAAGATCTTCGTAGAATATGTAGGAGCCAATATGGGCATCCAGGTCCCGCTATTGGTTATTGACCGGAGACGTGTCTCGGTCATGTCTACATTGTTCTCGAACCGTAGGGTCCGCACGCTTAACGTTACGATGACAGTTATTATGAGTTTATGCATTTTGATGTACCGAAGGTTGTTCGGAGTCCCGGATGAGATCACGGACATGACGAGGAGTCTCGAAATGGTCGAGACGTAAAGATTGATATATTGGAAGCCTATGTTTGGACATAGAAAGTGTTCCAGATGAAATCGGGATTTTACCGGAATACCGGGAGGGTTACCGGAACCCCCCGGGAGACTAATGGGCCTATTGGGCCTTAGTGGAAAAGAGAAAAGGGGCAGCCCACAGCTGGCCGTGCGCCCCCCCTTCCCCAAGTCCTAGTAGGACTAGGAGAAGGGGCCGACCCCCCTCTCTCTCCTTTCCCCCTTGAGAGTCCTAGTTGGAATAGGATTGGAGGGGGGAGTCCTACTCCCGGTAGGAGTAGGACTCCCCCTGCGCCTCCCTCTCTCTGGCCGGCCAGCCCCCCTCCCTTCAACCTTTATATACGGGGGCAGGGGACACCCCAAGACACACAAGTTGATCCTTGAGATCGTTCCTTAGCCGTGTGCGGTGCCCCCTGCCACCAAATTCCACCTCGATCATACCGTTGTAGTGCTTAGGCGAAGCCCTGCGTCGGTAGTACATCAAGATCGTCACCACGCCGTTGTGCTGACGGAACTCTTCCTCGGCGCTTTGCTGGATCGGAGCCCGAGGATCGTCATCGAGCTGAACGTGTGCTAAGAACTCGGAGGTGCCGGAGTAACGGTGCTTGGATCGGTCGGATCGGGAAGAAGACGTACGACTACTTCCTCTACGTTGTGTGATCGCTTCCGCAGTCGGTCTGCGTTGGTACGTAGACAACACTCTCCCCTCTCGTTGCTGTGCATCACCATGATCTTGCGTGTGCGTAGGAAAATTTTCGAAATTACTACGTTCCCCAACAAAACTTTGTATTCTCGGTAGTAGACATGTTTTGTAGCAAGAACATGAGCAGCAATTAAAGACGTTTTTGGTATTTTTTTAAGCAAGCAAAGATACAAGCAAAGCAAAAAGATAAAAGTAACCAGGCAAAATAGGTACAATAATAAAGTATGATAATGTGAAAGACCTCTCTGTTTGTATAAGACTCCCCGTTAATGGAGCTAAAAATCTTGCTTGCTCTTCTTGTAAGAGTGTTTGGGTACCGTTAAGTGTAAGGATGAAGCAACCTAATGGTGAGTATTTTCATCGGACGTCATGATTCAAGATGTTTGTCGAACTTTGACCGCTACGGCTACCTAGATGCCGTATTTCACCATGTCTCCTCGTCCTTTCGACACCGCGACCAAGGTGGCTAACACGTACACTGCACGTGCTCGCTGATCGCACTCTTCCCTAATCCGTCAATCGTCTGGTCAATTATCCTGGGTTCCTTATGCTCACGTGGTTTCGGAGAGGGGTGTCCGGTTCCAATGATTTAGGTCATTTTCCGAGGGGGGAGGCAGTCGGGTTTTCTATCTACCCAACTATAATATGAAAATAAAATTTTAGTTCACCTGCTCAAGCTGAACGACTTTTATATCACCAAAGAATGACATGTACAACGATCATCATTGTCTGTTGTTAGTGAATAGAAGCCAAATAATACGTAATACAAACATAATCACTTCCTGGCAATTCACATAAAAACATCCTTCAAATAATTCGTCTATGTTCTTAGTTACATTCGTTTTTTTGCCTCTTTGCGGATCATTCATAAAATATGTTGTTCATAAGTTTCTTGTATTCTTGGCTTCAGTTGGTCTTTGCGCCAAAGACGTAACGGGCCATATATCTTTTTTGAAGCCAACAATGGTTCTGAAGCATAAAAAACATAGTAATTGTGTTTTTTAGTGGAAAATCATTTTATGTTATAGACTTCATTAGAACGCACATGGGTTACAATGGGGTTCTGGGTTGAAATTACTAAACAGTAAGATGGAGCGAGCTAGAAGCAATCAGAATAATTTGGGCTCCTAGGCCGTTCGATCCACCTAGCAAACGACCTGGACTTCCCGGTCGTCCACGCAAACGTGCTCCTCCCTTTCATTCAATGCCTATTTGTTTTTAGCCCACACTTCTGGGCTGCTTCTTCGGAGATAGACCTAGGCGGTTGATGGTTAATCGGGCCCTAGGAGATGTCAACTAGGCCTACATGTTTTGGCCCGATTGATTTTCATGCCTGCGTGAGAAGTCTGGATACGTGCGTTAAGACCGGCACGTTTCTAGCTTTGACGGAAATTGTGCCACACAGTTAGCTAGACGTATTCTTCTGAAAAGAAAAATAAGTAAAAAAAGATGAATACACAGGTTGTTGTTTGAAAAACAATACATAAAGGATAAAAATGGTGCCACATTTAACTAGACGTGTTCGTCTCAAAGGAAAAGGATAAAAGACGTATACACATGCAAACATAACTTATTTTTTTGTCCACAACATGTTATTTTTTTACACAAAAACCGACTTAACCATATCCAATGATATAATCCTATATTCGGTCCTCAATGTACCAAAATGTTTAAAAAACACGTCAAAAAATGTTTAGAAAAAAGTAAATAATTTCATCAAACATGCACGGGCGCGGCAAAGTGCGCCATCATGGTCTAGTTGGTGTTTAAAGAAAAAGGAAAATTCGTGTTGTTGGATAGGATAAGCACCCATTTCTGGTCCCATAGATCCATTCGAACAAAGGCCGAATCATGGACGCAATTAGTCTTTGCGCCAAAGGCCGAAACATCCACTTCAATTAGTCTTTGCGCCAAAGGAGCAACATGTCATCTTATTTTTTTGAGCCAGCAATCGTTCTGAACCAAACCCGAGACTAGCGGGCAAAAACAACATAATTGTGTTTTTTTAGGGGAAATCGTCATTATGATTTAAATTTCATTAGGCCGCACATTTTTTTTCACGTGGGTTACAATGGGCTTTCGGGCTGAAATTCGTGCTGTTGGTCCATAGAGGCATAGACCCATTCGAACAAAGGCCGGATCATGGACTCAAAAAAAAAACCGAACTTGGGCCCTGACTTTTGCTCAAACCTCCCCTGCTTCCAGCCAAATTACCCCGTCCCGCTGGCGACAGCACAGCCTCTGGAACGGGACAGGGAGAGCCACCACCTGATCCCAGCCGCCCGTCCCACCATCGGACGGCCACCAAACGGGCGCCGAGAGCCGTGGCATGAACAAAATTCCTCAAACACCCCCCCGCATCTTCTTC